CACCTTGTGCAGGTTCTTCAGCCGGGGCGGCAGGTTGTCCCGAATCATCTTCATGGCTTTGAGAGGAGGTTCATTGAAGTAGGGGGGCTCCCCATCCACCATCTCGATCACCATAACCCCCAGAGACCAGATGTCCACCTGGGGTGGGGAAGGGGTGGTCCTGGGCTGGGCCTCTCTCAGCCGCCACCTGCCCCCCGCCCCCAATGCCAGTCCCCTCACCCAAGGAGCCACTGGAGAGCAGCTCTGTGCTTCTGCCCACCGAGTAGCAGCCCCTACTGTCTGCTGCCCACATGGGCTGTCTCTGCTGGAACCATCACCCTCCTGACTCCCGCTCTGTCCTCCCTGGAGCCCAGGGGTGGACAGCTTATCAATAGTTGGGGCACATGACCCAAAATGAGCCACCACCACCACCCCCAGCCAATCCAGGGCCTTCTCCCAACACCCCCAGAAACAGTGGGCTAGCTTAGAAGCTGCAGAGAGGCGTCTCGGAGTGGCCAGGGGTCACCTCCGCTCCTGAGAGGCCACTCGGAGGACAGGCAAGCCCACCCCACTGCCAGTCCTGAGGACCAGCCGCTGAGCCTCATCCCTGGAGCTGGGTTTCTTGCCACAGGCAGCCTGTTCTCACGCCAGCCCCTCCCTGTGTGGGCCAGGCACTTGGTCAGCCAGGTGGCTGACTGCTGGGGAAGCCCTCAGAGTCAGGCCACAGCTGACAGGCTCCGGGCTGGCAGGTCAGTGGAGGGCAGCAAGGATGGCAGGGGCTGAGTCCAGAGGAGGGCCCCGCCCTGTGACAGGGAGCAGCTCAAACACTGCCACCAGGCATGTCACCTGGCTTCTTCCCAGAGAGACACTCAATTCCCCTTAAAATGCCTGCACAGCAGCTGCAGGTGACAATCGCCGGAAGCCTGCCAGGTTGGGCCTGTAGCCACTTCAGCCCACGTCTTGTCCCCATTGCCAAGTGCCAGGCCGCTTCAGAAGCAGTCCTCCAACCAGAGCAGGGGCTGCCTGGCTCCCCACTCTCGGCCCCTGTGTGTGCAGGCGGAGTCCAGCCTCACCTCGGGCCCGTAAGGCAGGCGGGAGATGAGCTCCGGGGCCATCCAGTACGGAGTGCCCACCAGCGACTTCCTTCTGGGCACCTCCTTGCTGACCTGGGCGCAGAACCCGAAGTCGGACAGCTTCACGCGGCCGTCGTGGGTCAGCAGGATGGAGTCGCTCTTGATGTCGCGG